CAGTCCTGTGTTTGACCGTATTCCATATATCTAACCACATGTCTTTTCCCCAGATCGGTCGGGCGTGGATAGTCCATTCCTGGGTGGCCCACTGTGCAATGCAAAGAGTGAGCCCCCGGTACACAGCCCAACTATCTGTGCAGATGTTCAGGATACCATCACCTGGTTCCTTGGTTATAACCATCCACACAGCTCACAGTTCTGTCCATTGGCTGTTCTGACTATCCCCCTCGTCGAACCAGATCTTCTCGGTGGAAGGTTGGTACGCTATTGCTCTCCACTTGCTCGGGTTGCCCTTGCTGGACCCATCTGTGTACCAGGCATCTTCAGGGATAGGATATTTTCCCTCCTGAACGGGACTCTTCTCTGGTGGAGCGACCAGTATTTCTTTTGGTGCATCACTATGATAGGTAACTGGGCCTAGGATCTTCTGGAGTTCTTCTTTCAAGGATGATGAAGACAGACTGCTCCTTTGGCTGAGATAGGCGACCCATCGTGCCACTGTTTGTGCTTGGGTCACCCCTGTCTTAGGAAGGTGGGTCAGATCTTTTACCCACCCCTGAATTGGCAGAGTGGTCTTGACTATAACTGCAGCTGTTTGAGTTATTGGTTCTATTGCCTGTAATGCCGAATAGGCAGCCAATAACTGTTTTTCAATCATACTGTATCTTTCTTCTGCTCCGTGCCAAACCTGAGACCAGAAACCAGTGGGGATCCGAACAGAGCTCTGGCGTTGCCACAGGCCCCAACTGAAGCCATCTTGAGTAACATGAACATCCAACTCGGCTGGGAGGGTAGGATCGAATATACCCAATGCCTGGGCTTGTTTAACTGCCAGTTTTGCTTGTTGGAAAGCATCCTGTTCGGTTTTCCCCCAGTCCCAGAGCTGCCCCTTTTTTGTGAGTCTGTATAGTGGCCTTAGCAGCTGCGCTAGGTGAGGTATAAAGGAACGCCAGTAACCCAATATACCTAGAAACTCTTGCAGCTGCTTTGATGTTGTAGGGACTGGGAACGCCTGAACCTTATCTATAACAGCATTGAGTAGCACTTTGGTCTTTCCTGACCAAACCACCCCCAGGAATTTTACGGACAGGCCTGGACCTTTCATCTTTTGGGGATTTATAGCCCATCCCCTCTGTTGTAAATAGGCGGTTAATGAATTTGCCGCCTGTCCTACTGCCTCCAGTGAGTCAGATGTCAGCAGGAGATAATCAATGTAATGATATAGGTTAACATCATCAGGTTTTGTCCAATCAGCCAGGTCACGCGCCACTAGATTGTGACAATACGTTGGTGAATGCACGTACCCCTGTGGCAGGACCTGAAAGGTCCACTGCCTGCCTCCCCACGTAAACGCAAACTGATCTTGCGATTCCTCAGCAATTGGGATACTGAAGAATGCATTTGCTAGATCTAGGACGCAATGATAGGTTTTTATCTCCCTACTCAATGTGTCCATTCGGGAGGCAATATTGGGTACGGCCGCATGAATAGGGGGCGTGACCTTATTTAATTCTCTGTAATCTACTGTCACTCTCCATGTGCCATCCGACTTTCGCACTGGCCATATGGGGGAGTTATATGGGCTGTGTGCAGGTCTTATAATGCCCACTTTTTCTAATTCCTGCACCATTCTCGATATTTCATCTTGTCCACCCGGGAGTCTATACTGTCTGACGTTGGTAATCCGGCGCGGTTTCGGCAGGCAAACAGGCCCATATTTCGCATGGCCTCTTAATATTGCCTGCACTGCCCGGACACTGATACATCTCTGTCAAAGTCTGAACTCTCCCACAGTTGTTTGGAGGGCCAGACCCCATAGAATATCTATGCCCAGGATGTATTCTTGGACTGGGGCAATAGACACCTTGTACTCCTGGGGTGGGAGACGCCCAACCCCCAGTTTGAACCGTGTTTGGGTGACAAAAATTCTGTCCCCCAAAACCACCAATCATCGCTCTGTCCCCATCGAATTTCCTCGGATCTCCATAGATAATTGATGTTTCTGCTCCCGTGTTTACCAACGCCATAACTCTCTGAATATTTTTTCAGGACCAATAAATCGTTCATTCTACATAGGGCCTCCGGTCCCGTCTGGAGGCCCTGCATCCCTTGTCACGCCATGAATTGTGCTATGGCCAATTCTTTTGCTTCTGACGGCTCAGGCATTGTGGCCCGAGACACCTGAGGTGGCTTTTTTTTCCTGTTTGGAACAACGCAATCTTCTAGGTTCCATGTTGTTGTTGGTACGCTCTCTATAACCCTCACCCTTGATTTCTTAGGGTAGTTCTGGAATTTTTTATTGTCCTTTAGTTGTCTCCAGAGCTGGAGAAGGACATGGTTGGGCTGGCGGTCAATCTTAGCAAATTGGACCCCAGCCCGAATTAAATAATTAAACATTTGTTTTCGGGATACCCTGATGGGTCCCGATGGAGGAGCTCGAGTAGCCGGCATTTTGGTTTTACTTACCGGCAGGACCTCTGCTTCTTCCAATAGCTGAATATTGCGCCTAGTCCGCAGGCGTTCTGTTTCTCCCAAGTCGGCAACTAACCGGGCAGCCTGCTGGACTACAGCTTCTGATGCTGCAAGGGGATTTAATATAGAGAGTAGGGTGCCGTAGAGAATGGGAGGGAGCTTGCTGTAGAATTAAATCTCTCATCTCTGCTGAAAATTTAACCATATCAGGGCCAACAAATGTCTCTTCATAGATAGCCTCTCTTACACCCAGTTGGCGGATATAATTTTGAAGGTCCTCCATGGAGGACCACATGCCCGTATGTAAAGGTATGTCCGATTTATTTGGCCATACCATACGGCAGGCTGCCATTAACCATTCTAGTATAGAATGGTTTTCATCACGATATTGACTACCCACGTATAACCTCTGTCTGAGAGCAGGATGGACAGTCATGGTGGCCAACTTGGCTATTTCTGGGCCATTCACCAAGACACTTTCTGCCCCAGAATCCCACAGTCTTAATAACCAAGCCGGCACACCTTCTCTAGGCTTCTGCCGAAATCGCTGTACTAAGTCCATCAATTCTGTTGCCATGTATGGCCGGGCCGTTACGTGTCAATGAGTCTGAGCAGGGGGCCACTGATCAGGGGGCACCCCGCCGGTCTGTCCTGCACTTTTTTTGTTTTCTGGGTTACGACAGGACGGACTTCTAGTGGATCAGTTGGAATTGTATATTCAAGATCTAATCTAGACTTTTTATTTTCCTGATCAACGATGTCTGTTGATTCAGCCTTTGCAGACCCTGGTGGTGGGCTTGCAGCCGTGGCAGACCTTGGTGGTGGGCTTGCAGCCGTGGCAGACCTTGGTGGTGGGCTTGCAGCCTTTGCAGGCCCTGGTGGTGGGCTTGCCGCCTTTGCAGGCCCTGGTGGTGGGCTTGCCGCCTTTGCAGGCCCTGGTGGTGGGCTGGCCGCCTTTGCAGGCCCTGGTGGTGGGCTGGCCAGTTGCAGGCCCTGGTGGGGGGGGTGAGGTGGGAGCAGGGATCCCAGAGTTCTGGGGCCACACGGCAGCAGGTCGCAGTGTGATGGGAGCAGGCAGGGTCAGGGAATCACAGGGGCATGTGGGAGTATGGCTCACACAGGGCTGTGGTTCACGTGCAGCCACCTCACCCCCACCACCTAATCCCATGTGACCCGTAACTCCATGACGCCCCATTTGATTCTACCATCCTTTCTGACTGCATCCCAAGGTCTGCATCCTCTGATCTTTTCTATTGCCCATCTCCCCCAATGACCAGCACTCGTAATAAACTGGACGAGCTGACATCTACCCTTTGTGTATGAATCTCGCTGTCAGGTGAACATAGACTAGAACCTGCTCTCGCTCTCATAATAGGAGTGACTCGGTGCCATCTCCTTGAAGAGGGACGATGGGGACTCTCCCAAGACCCCTTGGCTCTGACAGATGTGATGGCCACGTTCTTCAGAGCCCTGGGACCCTGAGATCCTCATTTTCCAATGCGGTGCTCTCTTCCAGTGACACACAGAGCAGAGCAAAGCCCACGATTTTGCAGCGTGTGAAAGGTGTAGCTAAGTGGGGAGCCAGAGAGGAGACTTCTTCCTTCCAACGTGCTCTCCTTTAGATCTCTGGTGGGAATAGAAGGGGTTGTTGGGAGGAGCTGGGAGCAAGACACTGCAGCTGGGTGGCTTGTAGGGAAGGGATAAAGAGAAGCAGAGAAATGGCTGCCTCCCCTCAGCGTTCTGACCTTAAACCATCCCCAGGGTATGCATCCAGGAGAAGAACTGTCCTGTTTTTTGAGAAGAGTTTCTCTTCTTGTACAGAAACTCATTGGCTGTTGGACCACAGGGAAAGAGATGGAAGAAAATGCAAGAAAGGTCTTGTACCAGGTCAGGCGTAGATTATCCTGATATTACAAGTAGAATAGGAGGGAATATCACGACTGTTTCCAAGAAGCTATTATCACATCGCCCGCCGCAATTGCTGAGTTACTGTGACTTGTAGTGGGATTCCCAAGTCACAGCCTGAACCAATACGTGAGCATGAGCGCCTGGTACAATAGGAGACAAGGCTGCGTTCCTCAGCGCTTTCCTGGCGGCACGGATGCGGCCCGTGCTCGCCGCTCTCCAGGAAGGCCCGCATGAAACAGGGCGGCGCGGGCTCGGCCTCGCCGCGGTCCCCCGCGTACCCGCCCTCCTCCTCCCGGAGTCCGGCCGCCCCGGAGCCCCGGAAATGGGGCGGGACCGCGGCGACAGGCATCGCCGCGGGCAGCCCGGCAGGGGGCCATCCGGGACGCGCGCGGTGATGACGCAACGACGGCGCGACCGCGGAACGAAAGGACCCCGAGCAATGGCGGCGCGGAGGCGGCGGGGCCGAGCCCGGGCTCTCCGCCAATGGCGGCCGCGGGGCCGCCGCGATGGCACTGCCGCTGGTGGAGCTGTTGGGCTCCGTGCAGGGAAAGTGGCGCTCTGCTGCCCCGCGTCCCCGCCGCCGCCGCCCGCCCCGTGCCTTTGGGACGCCGGGCTCTCAGGGGAAGGCGGCGCGGAGGTCCGTCCGTCCCCCGTCAGCACCGAGCCGTCCTCCGCAGTCGCCGTTTGGACGGGAGCCGGTTGGGAACGCGGTCGTCTCTCTGTTTGTCGCTCTGTGCGTTCGTCGATTAAACATTTCCCGTTCGTTTCTCGGCGCTTCTGCCCGCGGTCGTTTCTGCAGCTCCGGTAATCCACCCCGTCCCCGTGCCCACCGCCAGGTAAGGACAGGGCGGCGCGAGCAGAAGAGATTCAGACTGGCTGCACAGTTTTGAAAACTGTGCTCTGCAGACCGGCTGCACAATAATGTCCTGCTGGCACGAATCCTGAACTTGTCTGCCTCAGAAAGTCTTCCTGGATGTTGCTAGAAGGCTGCTTATATTCTTGGTGCTCTTGGCCTAGCTGAATTTTATTGGAAAACTCCCACTAGCTTAGCAGGACTGTCTTCTTATTTTCCATGTGAAAGAACTGGATTAGTATTTTTCTTGCTCTCTTTTTTGGATTTTTCTAACAATCTCAAAAGCCTGTGAAGCATGGCTTCCTCACAGCTTTCACACCTGTTCAGTGACTCTGTGTATTTATGCATTCATACATGAAATGAGCTTTATTTGTTTCCGCAATGTTGTTTTCACCTAACATATGTTTTAGTCTGGGGGTTAAATCTGAATTGTTTATTTACTGCTGTGATAATGCTGAGGATCTGCACAAGGTACTGCAGCAGTGCAGTGCACGCTTACGCTCTCGAACCCCAGGGCCCCCATCCCAAGTGATAATGCAGATAATCTGGGGCCTTCTTAAATTCCAGCACCTTTCAGAGGCTGGCTTACCCACAGCATGCTCTGCACACCAGTGTTTAGATATGCACACAAAAAAGCTGGGCATCTGCAAGGCTGAAAACGAGTCTTTCAATGCTTATTAATTTTGCTCCAGGCCTTTTACATTAGTAAAGTACACAGAAGGAAGGGCGAAAATACAAAGCTGCCACCACTTTCTCTAATTAATGCATGCGAAGCTTCACATCTCTAATTACTGAGCAGTGTGTGCTGTGCAAATAAAAGCCCAGAGTCCAGAGGATGTGTAAGGAACTCCGAGCTCTGCACTCCCTGTGCAGTGCAGTCTGTCAAAATAAACTTCTGGCATTCGCTGTTCAGAAGTGCAGTGTGCCTGAAGCAAAGTCCTTGCAATTCACTTCTATTCAGTGAAGGATTCCTCACCTATTTGAACAACTTGAAACATTTTAGAGTCGTGGAACACTTTTGAAAAAGGAAGGTCTTTAATATTGATATTCATGCCTATTTAGATTGTCCATTTTCCATCCAAGCTCAGCTATTGATGGTTATGTCTGAGTAAGCCATAAAAATCAAGTCTTTACTGGATACATCCCATGCCAAATATTGTTGCTGTGTTGTTTTTATTTTCTATAGGTAGGATGCCACTGCATTTACAGTGCAATCAAATGAGAATGTGACAGAGACTCTGGTAAGTGGTGGATTTTGCTTCTTTTCTAAATGGTGTGTAAAAGAAAGGGTACTGTTTTTTGCTTTGTACAAAAATATTTGCTCCTTTGTACAAAAACATGGGTGTTTTCCATCCTCTAATTCATTAAATCTTGACCTGAAAGAATAGGTGGGTATACCATTGCAGCTGTAAATCTGTACTTTCTGAAAGTCTTTCACTAGGATAGCACTGCAAAAAAGGAAAAACAGGATGCCTAGATACTTTTAATTTTTGAAGGTACAGTCAGTTTACTTATTTATTGCACTTAAGAAAAGCAAGAATGAGTGCTTTGGTCCAATGTACAGCAAGGAAGTGCTCACATGTGCTGTCGGTACACATGCCTCTCATATCACTGCAGCTTTATCTATCTTCCACATTTTAGTAGGTACCATCTTTTAAGGGGGGGAATGCTGTTGGAAGTGATCCTACTTTGGTGGTTTCTGGGCTCCTCTTGCTGAATCCAGTTAGCCTGAATGAAGGATATGGAGTGGCAGCATTGCTGGGTGAACGCTGCCGTTACTGAGAGCAGAAGAGTGATTCTGTCTGTTGATGTGCCTTTGGTCACTGAGCACCGTGAGAGCATTCTGAGTTTTTGTGTTTGTAGTTCAGGTGGCAAGTAGCCTAAAGACTGCTTGTGCACAAGTGACTCAGAGCACATCAGTGCCATCTGCATTGTAACACATTACCTCTGATTTTAAGCCTGAAAGTTCCTTCCAGTATTAAGGCCCAGGAAACTCATTAGCCATCTGACCTGGGATAAACCTGCCTTTTGTTTCTCATTACAATCCTGTTTTTTCTTTGTGAAATTCCTTGGAACTGGTATTGTCACACAAGACAGACTTCTGCACAGTGTGGTGTATTATAATGAATGTTTCTTTCTTCTTTGCCAAATCCAGAAGGTGGTGCTTAGGCAGATTTCCCTATACCTCATTAAAAATAAGCCTGCTAAAGGAATAGATGAGGAAGGAATTGAAAGGATATGTTTTGGTGTGGTGGTGGGTTTTTCTGTTTGGTTTTGTTTTGTTGTTGTTTTCTGAAAAATGTCAGGGAGCAGATTTTCGTCTTTTGAAGAATTTCAGAGATGTCTCTTCATTACAGAAGGCCTTCTGACCAGCTGCATCTTAACAGCTGCAAAGCAGCTGGATAGCTTTTGAGGTTCACATTATGCTGAGCAATTTGTTCGTGGCAAATTGATCTACTGGGGTTATTTAATCTGGCTGAGTCAGCCATCTTTATAGATGCAATATGCTGAGCACAGCTTGCAGCTCTCTCCTTTAGCTGTGTGTGTTTGCAAGGCTTTGTCCCCAGCAGAAATAGCACTTTTGCTGGGAGCTGTTTTGGTACAGGACCAAACATCTTGCAGGACTGGTGATGTTTACTAGACACACTTCCTAAAAAATAAGCACAGGCCAGAATTTTAGAGGGTAAGAACTGCAGAAGAAGCATGGCCCATAAACGGAAGCTTTGTAGGTGATTGAGGTTTCAGGATGCAATAAGCATTAAAAGAAACTAGGGATGACTTTTTTTACTCAGAAGGTGGTGAGGTACTGGAACAGGCTGCCTGGAGAAGCTCTGGGTGCCTCTGGTCCTGATCATCCTGATCTAATGGGTGGCCCATAGAAGGGGGATTGGAACTGAATGGTCTTTAAGTTCTTTTCCAATTCGAGCCATTCTGTGATTCAATGATTTTCAATGTCAGAATTCATGCAGTTAGTACTTGCCTATGTGAAAACAGAGTCCGCACCCTTTCAATAGAGAAGAGACCTTTTTGTCTGAGAACTAGTGGAATTAGGGGGATAGGGGATAATTTTAAAAAATCCTGTTTGAAATCATACTTTGGGACACTCTTCACTTTGCCCTCACTTTCTAGAGCATTTCTGAGCAAACTGAGTACTTCTCCCCCATTTCTGCTGCTGCTTTCAATAGCTCAGGAAGCTAGCACTCTCTTTCCTGGCAAGGGAGGGATGTAGGACTGACTCAGTTTCTGTGCAGGACACTGAGAATGAAGATGCTCTGTAGATGATCATTAGTAATGTAAGGCTGTCCTCTTCCTCGCAAAGCCATTGGCACTGAGTCTGCTAGGAGTGAAGCAGCACTGCAGTGCCAGGCAGAGCTCCCATTCCCTTCTTCCCTCCCCACCATCATGTGCTCCTCAACAAATTTTCCACTGTTTACTTAGAAATCCGTGAAACAAAAGACTGAGGCTGAAGAAGCTCCACCTGGGGAAGTCAAGGTGGAGGAAACCCCTGCTGCTGCTGTTGTGGGAAAGGAGGCCATCCCTGCTGAGCCAGATGAGCCAACAGAGCAGGCTGCGGTGAGCGATCTGTCCCCCATGTCCATCTCCCAGCCTCATCTGGGCCATCTCTCATCACAGTGAGTGTGCTTGCTGTATTTCAGCCATCCCCTCCGTTCCTCATCATGGTGGTTTTGTCAGCGTCCAGCTGTGTCACAGCATGCCTCTCCAGCAACATTTGCTCCTGTTGGTCCCAAAATGTAATTCCTTTTAAGACTGGCACTTTAGCTGGAAGTTCACCTGCATGGTCTTACAGGCAGTCAGAGGTCAGTGCAGAGCATCGAAAAAAGGTTTTCAGATATGCAGATACTCTAGCCTTGCATGGATCTTTCTGTGGAGCTGATTGTGTTTCACATTCCTGCTAGGGGCAATGGCTCAGGCACTACAAGCCTGATTGTGACATTTGTTAACATAGGGGAACAGCGTTAGGAAAGCGTACAAACAGAAGTGAAGAGTGGCTTGGAAATGGTCTGAAGCTCTACTCAATCAGTGTCAGGTTGGTTGTGTGCTGGTGGTGTTGGACCACTGCAGAAGCCACTCATGATACCACGCAAACTGTGTGCAGCAGAAAGCTCTGGAGTACAGCTGTAGTTTAAAGGACTTCTCAAGGACAGAGAGATGATTTTGCCTGGATAGTTCCAACTGTGTCACTGGATTAAAAACTGGTATCAAATGTGCATAAAATGAAAAGGCAGGCTGAGCTTTAGTTGCAGCACCTGCCTGGTTACCATTTCTCCCTTGCTCCTATCTTCCTAACAGGGTAAAAAGAATTTGTTGTAGATGGAAATGGGGACAGTTTTCTGCATGCTGTTCTGGAGAACTTTGAGGGAGAGGAGGATGATCCTTGTCTAATCCTTCCTATTTGCTCTGGATTCCTACCTGTGAGAGCAGCATTGTAACGGTAGAGGAAAGCAATGCCAATGTGTTCCCTAGAATTATGAATTGGACTTGCTTCTAATTAAATCATGAATATTGAGTGTGTTTAATTTTAATTTACTCCTTGTTCATGTCTGTAGCAAGCCCTAGAGCGAGTGACCTCAGCGTCATCCTCTTATAATAACAGACACAAAGAAAGGCCCCATGGTCTGCAGAGGTCAGGCTTTTCCCCATGCGTGTTTTCTTTTGAGTTGATCTAAATCACTGTAATAACTTGTCCACTCTATAGCAAAGCAAACAATGAAACTGCCTATCTGAAGCACGTTGTTCCAACAGACCGTTGTCAAAAATCCTCCATGGCTAGGCAGAGTAAATTTGATGGTTTGGAATAAAGAAGAAAGAAAGGATGGTGAGTAGAGGAAGGATGGGACATCAGTCATTGGTCAGGAGGTCCCCCATTTCCTTGTTGGTCTTCCCAACGGGTGGCCTTTCAGCCCACCTGTAACTGCTGGCCACAGGCTGTGAGCATCCCTTTGCTCTCCAAGGACCGCTAGCAAAAGCACGAAGGAGGGGAAGCGGCCCGGGAGGAAGAAA